CCAGAAGTTTGCCAGAGTACTTAAGGCTAAATTAAGTAAGATTAATTCTTTTGGCAACATTGAACAATTGTCACATTTTGATTGTCCCACTTGATGCAACTCACATTGGCCTGAGATATACCAGTCATCTTCTTGAATTTGCAAAAATGATGTTGGTTTATGGCATTGAGCACTTTAGGTGCTCAATTTATTTATCCAGACAGCTACATAAAATTTGGACCATGGTTCCTAGGGGCTGCTGATGCCATAACTGATCTCCAGGGTGCTGTTTCAGCTTTAGGTGCAGTTGAAGGGTTTGGAACTCTTTTTCTTTAAAAATGGAAAAGGGTAGTGAAGAAGTGGCTTCTTCCACAAGTTCTGCTTCAGGACTCGTGTCCCACTCCTTGGCTGAGAGCCTGTAACTAAATCTCATGGTAACTGATCTGGTGTTGCAAAATGATTAATTTAAATGTGCCTTCCTTAAGGTTTGCTAACGGGCACAGCGTAGAGAATGCGATAGTTGAGGTGAGTTTAAGGACTGGAGTTTTGAGGGGACTGCTAATTTATGCCCTGGTTCTGCAGCATGTTAGAGTGGTTCTAGGAATTTGTACAACACGTTATGTAAGACTTATAAGATGCCTGAAATAAGGTTCAGAACCTTGTGTGACAACTGTAGTTGACATCAGTTCATCTGATGTATACCCAGTCTCCCAGAACAAGACAAAAACAACCTTTATTTTTTCTTGGTATCCCTTCATATTAGTGTATTGCATAGTTAGAAATTACTCATTTGTGCACAGAAGCCAATGCTGGACAAATGTTTAAGAAATTAAGGGGGAAAATTAGGAGATAAAACAAATTAAGAGAAACAAATGGTGAAGGAGGCGAACTGTAAAACTGATCAGTCACTTTTTCAGATTGTATAAGCCATTGTACGCTTTCTGCCACAGTAGTGAACAGGAGCAGACGATAAACGTTTTGGTAGGCTTAAAGAAAAAAGAGGAAGACTGTGAGCAGTATTATTTTTATTGTATTTTCAGCTAGTAGCTACTAGCTAGTGTTCTGTTTTCAGCTTGCAGATCTGTTTTCAATGTCAGGAAAATAATTGTTCAAAAAAGGCTATCGAAACACATGCACATTTTTAGGGGAGGAAGGACCACACGTTGCTTCCAAGACATTTTATTTGGCTGTCACAGAAAGGACATTGACGGACACCAGAGGGAGCTGCATTTCTGTATCCTTTTCTTACTGAAGGGTTAATTGTGAATAGAGCCCTTTGAGACAAGAAAAAAGTTTTGAAAAGAATAATAAGGTGAATAATACATTCCTTAATTAAAAATAAATAATAATGTATCCTCTTGTTTAAATGAAAAAAACCTTGTTTTCTGTTAATAAGTGCCACTGTGATGGTCTGAGAAGAACAGCTATTAATATTGGAGGGAATATGACTTGCCTTTTGAAAATGACAGATTTTTGTATATTTCTGATCAATTAAGTTTTGAAAATACATTAAAATAAGCTTTTCACAGATGTTAAAATAATTTATTTGCAGACATCTATACTGTAATTTAATTTAATAAGCAAATAAGATCACTGGTCTTTCTGATCTGGTATTATGTATCCAGCTGTGGCCAAGATCCTAAGGCGTTACTATTTTAATTGTCATAGTCAACTATCATTCTCTTTATTCTACTGCATGAAGCAAGAGTAGAGTTTTTCATCAAGCAGTCCCATAGTAATGTACATTTTCTGAAGTGTTAATAATATTTTGGAATATTTAGTCTATATGATGCAATTAATTTTGATGCCTTACTCTTCTAACATATTGCCCATAAATTAAGTGGAATGAGATCAGCTTTGTTTACTAACGTTTTTTTTTTCTCATACTTTTTTTTACTTATTTGATTTTGTGATACTTGGTTCATTGTTATCCCCTGTAATAGTATTTTTTGGAGTCCATTCAAAATTGAAGGTATATTCATATAGAATACACACAAAGATGGCAACATAAACAGATACTGCAATATAAATGTTGTGTACATATATACATTCACATACAGTATTCTTTTAAATGAAAGTTGTACATTTCACTAAAACCAAACATTTTGCTTTGCTTGAAAAGGCAGTTAAATACACTTCAGGCTAAATAGACTGCCAACAGGTGTGTAGGTAGAAACATTATGGTTGGCAATCGACTTCAAACAGGACAGGTTGTTTTTAATGTATTTCCCATTTGAGGATTAGTGTTCGTAAGCATAGGCAAATTATTCATTGCAATATGTTTGTGGCTGTATGCAACATAATGAAAAGATTTTTGAGGCAGATTATTTGCAATTGGAGCTCGCTAATGAGGTAGATGAATTGTAAGCCTGATGAAATGATATAGATAAAACCAACTGTAGCCTTAAAATACACCTATTAAAAGGAAGTTACTGGACTTTAGAACCCTGAAATTTACTTCTTATTCTATACATGAAGTTTTATACTTGATTTTAATTTGCATGTCTCTATTATGTGAGGTGTCTAATTAAAATGAATAATATCTTTTAATATATTATCTGAAATGCAATAAATTTGTAGTAAATGTGTATTAAAAGTTTAGTAATCTTGCTTTTAGTGTATCACATTTTTAAGTAATTTCTTCAGATACAGGTTAAAGAACATAAACTTTTCAGAGTTTTAAGACGTATATTATAAAGTCTTATGTTAGGTGAGTTGCCAGCTAAGCAGACTTTACCGACTTTCCATCTCTGTTTCACTGTGGAGTGGTACTTAAAGACAAAGGTCCTAAGAATGGCTGCCCCTTTGATCTGCTTCTCACTGTGGCTTATAGCAGATGCTCGAAGAATGAGAGCAAGGCAAACATGTATGATACTCCTACTAATCTCTCAGCCTCCAGCTCTTTCCAGGGCGGAAGCCTCTTCAACCAGCTGGGGTTTCTGTGTATTTACTAATGCTCAGTGTGTTTCTTTTCTGTGACTTACTATCATTGGCAAACTTTAATCTCATTTATTTCGGGTCGTTCATAGGTATCTTGAATAGCAAACGTCTCAGGACAGAAACCTATGAAAACGCACCTTTTTTAACTGTGAAGACCAGTGATTTACTCCTATCCTCTGTTTTGTACCTTTCAAGGAATTATTTATCTGTGCCATGCTGTTTTTATGCCACATCTGTTAAGTTTTCTTAAAAAGCTTTGATTAAGGACTTTCAAAACTCTCTTGGAAATCTAACTAGATCGTAGCTCTCCATTCGTGTGCTTATAAACCCCTCAGAGATTTCACTTTACAAAAACCATGTTGTCTTTTCTCTTAACAAATCATCCAGGTGTCTGCTAATTCAGTTCTTCATAATGATTTATCCTAATTTGTCTGGACATCAGACATACAGGGCTGTAGCTCTCAGGACGTTCCATGAAAAAATTTTTGAACCTTACTGTTGTGCTTGCCGCCTTTCGGTTTTTACGAACTGATACGAATATTTTACTGGTCATTTTGTCAATGTAGTTTTGTAATTTTTATATAATCCCTTCAGTTTCTTTGAGCCTCCCACAAAGACTCTGGCGTGAGGGTCTCTCCAGTTCCTTTCACTGAACACCAGTGGAAAGCGTTAAATTAGCTTGTCTGCAGGATCTTGTCTTCCCTGAGTATTCCTTTACACCTTCATTACCAGTTGGCTCTACAGACTCCCTGGCAGACTTTCTTGCTCCTCACGTCTTTGAAGGAGCATTTTATTATTAGTTTGCTAGTTGTTCTTCAGGCTAGTTTTGGGGTTTTATGTTTAATATGTCAGAATTTATGATCCTTTCTATTTTCTTCATCTGTACATTTCTTCTAATACCTCCTTTTATATTCTGTTGTTTATAGTTGTGCTGGTTTTCTATTGCTGTTACCTAAGTCTTAATAAATGGTATGTGCTGGCCTTGTGCTTACTGCATAGTTTCTGTAAGTAGTTTCCACAGTACCTGTAGGGATTTAATTTTTGTCCTTTTGATGTGTTTATTTTAAAATGTCCTCATTTTTATGTATACTTCCAGATATATTGTTCACCAAAGGCAAAATTTTCATAACTATCCTTTCCTATTGTACCTGTCAGAACTTGTGTGCCAACCATCTAGTTAGCAATCTGTGAGACTTACACTTCCAAACCCAACGTAAGTGCACAAACAGCACACAAATTACATATGCACAGTATGGTAGGAAGTTTTAAAAGCTGTCACATGGTATTTCAGAAACATGACTACAAATTTTGCTAGGCAGTCCGGTGGGTTTTTCCAGTGGCCTTGGCAGACTACTTAAGTTGAGTCCAGGGGCATTAGAAGCACTATGTGGAGTACTGACTCTGTAGAAGAGAAACTCGGTATTGATTCTTTTCTCCTGGCATTTGAATCTCCTGCTCTTTTGGGCTAAATGTGTGGTGTCCATTGAAGTGAACAAAGGAGATTCTTCTTTTACTTTAGTATAAATTGGTCAGTTACTAGAATTTTGGTCCTTCAAAGTAGCATTTATTGGTTTTGTGTGTATTTTTGAATAGGCTGGTTCTGATTAACCTAGATGTAAATGTCTGATCTTCTGTTTTTGAAAGGTCCTCTGTACAGTAGGAGTGGAAAGCTGTGCTTCATTTTGAGAAATGTTGAGATAAGTTTCACTTGGAAAGGTTAGTTATTGTGCATACAGGACCAGCTTCAGATGCTGGAAGTCATCCTTTTACACATAGCCAAGAAACTAATCAGCCTAGTTCCTTGCATATCAGCATAGTTAAATCAATTTAGACCAGCTGAATATCTGTCCTGTAATGTATTAATTTAATTTCTGAGAAATAAATTACTGAATAAATATTTTACATGTATTTACTTTTCTGAAGTATTCTTAATGGACTTAGTGACTACAGGTTGTTACAAGTGATCCTCATGCATCTTAGATTTACTTAAACAAAATAGTTAGAAATCTTTTTCAAGACAAACTCATTTGGCTGTCCTGTGCTATGCTTGAATATTTTTCTTTTTTGTGTGTGTGTTTCAGGTAAATACGCTGAAGATATATTTGGTGAACTTTTCAATGAAGCACACAGTTTCTCATTTAGAGTTAACTCCTTACAAGAACGTGTAGATCGCTTATCTGTCAGTGTTACACAACTCGATCCAAAGGAAGAGGAATGTAAGTTCACTCCTACATTGAAGTTTTCTTATTTTGTCACTCAGACACCACTGATACATGAAATGGAGATAATAATAGTTTAAATTATATTTATAGGAACATAGACCAAAGCATCATGAGAAAGAGGTGCATTTCTGTTTCTCCTACAGGTTTCTTTTACAGCCTTGAGCAGCTTTCTGAGATCAACATTTTCATGGTTACCAAATAGTACTGTTACCCATGAATTTACATAAAAACTGCTACGGGAGTATGTGTCACTTCTGTAGTGTTAGTATTAGTGTTAATAATAATATTAATACACAATATTATGTGAATGCTTGGAAGTAAGTCTTTACTCTTTTTTCCAGCCTTCCTGCTAATTCCCATGGGATGTAACCATTTGTCCAAGTAGGGTTTTTGCATTTATCTTATTACCATCTTACTTTCTGTATGAAGTTATAGTTGTGTAGCTGCATTTATTGATGCTATATATCCCCTTGGATTCTTCCTAAATAGCTTTAAGTAATATAAGTATTGGTTAACACTGAGAAAGCAAGTACTTCCAAAAGTCAGTAGGGTATGGCTCATGCCTATAAGATAGAATTTGTATGGAATTTAAAAGATGCATAGGCTTTGTGATGGCTACAGGAACACTGCCCACCTAATATGCAAATACCATGAAGCTTTTTTTGCCTTCCTGGATACCTGTTAGTTACAGGTGAAAGTACGAAAGGTCATGTAACTCCAAACAGTTTTAAGGTGTTCTAGACTATATGGCTAAGACCTAGAAAGTAGAGCAACATTCTATCATGAAAAATTAAGTGTCAAACCAGGAGCATGGTCTTCAGGCTGTCTGTAGCTACCGATGTTGAAATTTCACTATTGACAAAATGAAGCTAAAGAAGTTCTGATGCTGTATTTTGCGTGACATTAATTTCAGAGCAGGTTTCAGAAGAAAGCTGTTCACAGCTTGTAGATGATTTTCCACAAAATCGTGACTTGCCGAGGAGACGTGACTCCCCATGAATGGGATTTTCCAAATCTCTTGACAACTAAGAATAAATCATACATATGCACCTCTTTTTCCAATAAAATACCATGTTTACTGTGATTGGATAATGAGAAAAATCATTTTTGTGTACCATAACAAATTGACAGCAGTTGTAATCTTATAAAAGCTGTAATACTCCAGAGTGTTAATGTAACTTGTGCATTTACCCTTGACAGCCTAGTTTTCCCTTTAAATCAGAGTGGGATATATGTTTATACGGCATATCTAGTATGGCAGCTGTTCACATTTCAGGAAGATAGAAAAACCATTTTAAGTCATGGAGTTAAAGCATCTAAGGATGTTACAGGACACAGAGATGGAAAATTGTTCTTTCCTGTGTAAGTGGCCTTTGACAAGTTTGGCTGTAGGATTTAGTACTAAATATCCATAACTATTTGATGTTAGAGAATTGCTAGCAATATTTTTAAACAGTATGTTGTCCCAAATGCACCAGATCAATAACTTCACACAGTACGGTGTATACTGTAGCATTTGCTAAACTGTGTAGTTAAAGAAAGGGATAGACACCACAATTAAAGAAAACAGGGCTGAAAAGAGATCTACTTGATCAAGTCCAGAGTGCCTCCAGTCTGATACCCTGGATTTGTCTCTCTCGCCATGGAATAGCAGTAACTGCTAGTACTTCAGAGGAACACATGCAGTCTTCAGTGTCAGGAACTATTAAATGACTATTTTTATCAGCCTAAGAATATCCAGTCCTTGAGCCATAGCCAGTGTTCCTTATTGACAAATGTCTGCCCAAAATGAGTCACCAGATGAGGATAAAGTAGATCACAGAATCACAGAATCACAGAATAGTAGGGGTTGGAAGGGACCTCTGTGGGTCATCTAGTCCAACCCCCCCTCCGAAGCAGGGTCACCTACAGCAGGCTGCACAGGACCTTGTCCAGGCGGGTCTTGAATATCTCCAGAGAAGGAGACTCCACAACCTCCCTGGGCAGCCTGTTCCAGTGCTCCGTCACCCTCAGAGAGAAGAAGTTCCTCCTCATGTTCAGACGGAACTTCCTGTGCCTCAGTTTGTGCCCATTACCCCTTGTCCTGTCACTGGGCACCACTGAAAAGAACTTGGCCCCATCCTCCTGACACCCACCCTGCAGATATTTATAAGCATTTATTAGGTCCCCTCGCAGCCTTCTCGTCTTCAGGCTGAACAAGCCCAGCTCCCCCAGCCTCTCCTAGGAGAACCTCCCTTGTCCTGCTGGCCACACTCTTCTTGATGCACCCCAGGATCCCATTGGCCTTCTTGGCAGCCAGGGCACACTGCTGGCTCATAGTTAACCTGTCATCCACCAGGACACCCAGGTCCCTCTCCGCAGAGCTGCTCTCCAGCAGGTCCACCCCAAGCCTGTACTGGTGCATGAGGTTGTTCCTCCCCAGGTGCAGGACCCTGCACTTGCCCTTGTTGAACCTCATCAGGTTCCTCTCTGCCCAGCTCTCCAGCCTATCCAGGTCACGCTGAATGGCAGCACAGCCTTCCGGTGTATCTACCACACCTCCCAGTTTGGTGTCGTCAGCAAACTTGCTGAGGGTACATTCTAACTCTTCATGTTGGATGAAGAGTTAGATGAGAGGAAATTCGATACTACATTTCCTTAAAAATTAGGGATCAGGAGGCTGTTTCTCCTCCAGTATCCTGGTTTGGGCTTGAAGTTTAGAAATGCATCAGAAACAGTTTTTAGTCCTGATCTGCGCTTAAATAGGTGCAGGATGTTAACGCATGAGGGTGTGGGGAAAACATCTGGATTTGCCTTTCTTAACCCTCTGTTGCAAGAATGAAGCAAATTTCAGTACTTCCACTCAGCTAACACCAAGTAAGATGGGCTGTACTTGTAAAATGAGTCTCATTTGCTAGTTCTTTGCCAGCAGGCAGTAATAGAAGATTTAATGTGTTCCTTTGGGCCCGTGCTATTACACAAGAGGAAGAAATTAAGATTCATTTGAAGCTAAATGACATGAACAAAAACAGCCCAAGTCAGATTCATTGAATGAGGTGCAGATACTTGACAAGATGTTTCTGCTAGAGTCAAAGTAATAAAAAGCTCTGAATTTTTTTAATAGTCTATGTGTTTTCTCATTTTGAATTATTACAATACCTCTGTGAAAGAATAAAACCAAATGAAATCAAGGTTAGGATTGAGTGCTGGAGGAACTAGCTCCTGGTGCACAATCTTTCTGTCACAGAAGAATTGCTATGAACTTGGTTTGGTTTGAATTATTACACTGTTTTCAAATTCTTGATTTCTCGGAATTATTAATTTCATATTTTAATCAATTTTTTTACATCCTTTATTCTTTTTACATACATGTGGGTTTTTCCCCTTAGAAGAGATACTGAACTTGCATATAGACCAAAAGAAATCTGCTGCTTTCCTTCAGTAAATTGAACTTTATTTTAGTTGTATGGGACACTAGCCTATATGTATTCAAGAGGTCTCATGTCTGGGGTCTTTTTAGGACTGGGAAGGCACATTCTTGTTATGGAGAGGTGAAATAAGGTTGACAGTTTCAGTAGTCCTGGAATGTAAGATATCCTCGTAGGTCAGAAAATAAACCCCAAGAGCATAGTTTCTTTGCAACCATTTTTAATTTCAATATTTACTTGATAAATAACATTACTAACTCTCTCCATATACAGGCAAATTTTGTAAGTATAATAATAGATTTTTGTTAATTTACCACATTTTTGTGTGTTTATTTGTGCCATTAAGCTTGAAGTACTACTACAAGTAAATAATTTCGTATCTGTAGAAATCTGACATTTTTTTAAAAAGAATATTTATTTTGGCTTTTATGTTGTTCTTTTTTGAAATGCTGATACATGGTACAGCTCTGATGTACAGTGTAATGAAGTATTAGAAAGTCGTTGTATATCACTCAGAAGTAAATGGTATCAAGGCAGAAGGAGAATTCATAAACTAAGAGTTTATCTGCATATTTTGGTATTAATTTAGTGGTTCTTATGTATGTGAACTGCCTAATTCTATTCAAATCTCAAACTGGAGAAGATTTTAATCTCAAAGGCAGTGTATCAAATTCTTGATTTCTGCAGTTTATCTGTTACAACTGTGACAAGCAACTTAAAAAACTTAATGGCAGAAGTGCTACGGGGGAGCAGCCTGGCATACTTCAGGAGAGGAATCAAACAACGTTGTGAATTGTATTTCAGTAGGTTTCTGGTTGCAGTACACATGCTTTTTTTTTTCTGAACGTTCCAGAAGTACTGCTCTGTCATAAAAAGGATAGCAGTTCAGAAGTTTTGCTTTTGGATTAATGGTAAAGATAGATTCTTTTGATTAATGCTGAAGAGAGATTTGATATTTCGCTATAGGCAAAAAAGGTGGCATCTTGCGGGGAGAAACCTTAAAAGCTTAACAGCTAATTGTGGTCCATGTAATTCTGAAAATGGGAGACCCTGTCAACTTTCAAATCAGGATACTCAGCCCATTGTGAGACTTCAACAGAAAGGGTGGTAAATCCCGCTTTAAGGGGCAGCTCACTTACTGTCTCTAGCCTCTGAAGAGGGATTTGGTGACTTGAGTGTAAATGTAATCAAAGTTAGGAAGAGGGAGCACGTGTAAATTAGGTCGTGATCTTCATGTGTAATATGTTAATGTGGAGAGTAACACTACTGTAAATTAATTCATAAGAATTTTTGACCCTAAAGTCAAATAAAGAAAAAGACTGTTAAATTAAAATTTATGGCAGGTCACTTTTCCTGGCACATCTCCGCTTAACTGAATGTTGGATTTGAGTGCGTCTTCCTCTCAAAGATGTGTGCAGATGGGCTGAGCTCCAGCGGCTCTCTGTGCTTTTTCTCCAATTTTCTTAGCTCTCAATTCAATTTACGGGTTATTTAGTAAGTAAATCAGTTTTAAATTAGTGTGCCCAAGGCTTAATAGTCCAGTGGTAAAGCCATGATATTGCATGATTTGTACGTTGTGTGTAAAAAGAGGAATCTGGACAAAATGTCATTTGCTCAGTAACGTGGCGGTTTTGTTGAGATTCGCGAGCAGATTCGCTGCTTGGTGCTGCTGGGTGCTTCACATCTTCCCTGACGGGCTGCTCGGGGCTCCCCGCTGCTACACGCTGCATTTAACGCAGCTTCTGAGTCCTCTCGAAATGATTGCTCTAACATTTACATCTTCTCTTTGTTTGCCTGCAGTAATTAAGCTACATACATTCTCTATCCAAAGAGTGCTTGACTTGTTTTGGATTTTTTTAAATCAATATTTCAGAAAATTTGCATTTCTTTTGTTGAGGACAAGCCCAACGGAGAGCAGTTTCTGTTCTGCAGAAGCAGTCTCTCTGCTTTGCAACTATTAAACCTCCAGTGACCAGTCAGAAGTATTCTGATGGCAGAGAAACCTAAGATGTGTGCGATTCTAGGCACTGTTGAAGTGGATAATCATGAACAAAATAAAATATGTAAAGTAGAAATCACACTTCAAGATTACAGCATCTCGAGGAACTGAATCACACAAATCTTTATCTGAAGAGAATTTTCAAGCCCTCTCAATTAACTACCTTTAATTAGAATCTTATGACAAAGTTATTCATTCAATGTTGTCATTCTTTTTTCCCTGCATTTTTCAAATCGCTGTGTAAGATTTTGAACAGTGAAAGGGAATTGTGGGCAACTGAGTTTATTGATTTGTCTATAATTTCCCCATAGTCATTCAGTTCTGCAAGGAGTCAAAGCTGTGGCATTTAAGAGTTTGTGGTCTTAAAAGTTGTCAGGATGAAATTCTGCAGAAGGTGTTGAGAGCGCAAGCTTTTAAAAAGAATATGTATTATTTATTTATTTACCACCTTTAGGAGAATGGTATTTTTTGACCTAGAACCTCATCCTAAATTGTACATCGGAGTGAGTTTAAAAGAATAAAAAAGTCTAGTAACAGAGTTTTTTTTCTTCTGGTAAGGTAAAATAAAGTGTAATAGTATCTTTGAAATGTGTAAGTGGCTGCTTTCTGTTGGCACGCTGATGTGCTTCATGCATGACTTTTACTACAAATGAGGGATTGCAGTTTAATAAGAGGCTTAACAGGAGGTAAAATGTTGTTATGTGTATATATTACTGATGTGTTCTTTCATTTAATTTGTAGTTCTGTCCAAAAGAAACCCTGTTACTGTAGCTTATTAGAGTGCAATTTAAATACCTTTTTTTTCCCCAGTTCATTGTTGATTGCAGATAAAAATGGATGGGCATCTCTTTTTCAAAATCAAATGTACAAAAGGTTGGTAGTTTAGCTTTCTGACAGAGATAATTTTTAACTATGTGGAAAATATTGTCATGTACAGAAAGTTACACTGGCTGATACAGTAGGTCTTTTCATACAATCCAAACAACAGACACAGTAAAGAAAAACTGGCATTTGTTCAGATTGTTGAATGAATGTTTAACTTAAATTGTGAACATCTTATCATATCAGGAAGTTATTTAAGACCCTAGTTTTTATTCACTGCAGTAAACACAAGTGGTGTAGCAGATGGACTTTCAGGAAAATGTATCCGTATGAAATTTAGGCTCTTGGGCTGTACAAAGGTTCTGCTGCTAGTTAGGAATTAGGCAACTGGAAGCTTAAATTTGCCAGCATTGAGTCAAATGCCTGCAGCATTTCCAGCTCCTCCTTCAGTGTCTCGTCTCTTCTCACACCTGAATTCATACGTCCAGTTTGTCGGACCTGTCTGTCATCCTGCTGAGCTCGTTGGTCAGTCAGCCACAGCTAAGGGGCTGGGTGGCCAGCCAGGTTCTCGCGTATGCTCCCCGCTGCGGTGGCAAGCCGTGCAGGGCTTACCCAGTTTCTGAGCCAGCTGGCAAGCTGAGCAGAGGGCTTTGTAAGCCAAACCGTGCGCAGCCCAGGATTACGCTGTGCTGGCAGTGTGGGATTTACCTGATCTCTGTCTGCAAGCGAGTTACATTGGTGTCGTGATTCCAGTATTTTGTGTGCCATGTCCTTTTGTTTCCTTAGCAATGTTGTCCTACTACAGTCAGTTGTTTTGAATAATGGTGTGCTTTTCAGGGAATGTCGGTCATTGGATATCAGTGCAGGAAATTGTTAGCTGTTTGAAATTCCACAGTGTATGTTTTCTGCAAAGACCTTGGCTATGTAGCATATTTTTAGAGAGAAAATAGTCTATGCTTATTGTTGGGGATTGATTGGTCATCCTCTAGTGTGTTATCCCCTTCTACAACTTTATAAGAAGTGGAGATTTAAACAAGAAAACGGAGATTATGAATTAGACTGACTGTATTTGCTCACTCAGGAGACTCAGGAATGCTAATAAAGAGTTTATAGAACTATGTATGTCTCAATAATATGGTGTCACACGCTGTGTGAGCATTTTAATATTAAACCAAAGAACTGTCTGTATTTATTTATTGGAATAAATGAATTTACTTCATTGCCTTCAGAATGTATGGAGGTTCGAAGAGAAGTATGCTAACTTTTGTTTTTGTTCGCATAGTCTCCAATAAGTGACAGACAGTTGAAAGACTTGCAGGATTGCCAAGCATCACTGAACGTTTACATTTGGTGAGATTTGTAAAACCAACAAGCCAAAGGAGAAACAGCTGAAATATAAAAGAATCTAAGACTAGGTTTTTAGATGAGGTAAACCCCGATTTGTTTTAATTGTGAAATTCTGCCAGCAAATAACAACCTGTACTTCGTGACAGGTACAAAAGATAAATGATTATTTATAAGCGCAAAAATACCTGCAGAAATTGAGACTCCTAGCTGACATTCATTCATTATAATACGTCTTTCACACACTTAAAAAGGCTTCTGAGCAGCTAATTAAAGGTATTAAAAAGAATAAAAGACAGTGTAATGAAACAGAACCTAAGGGTAAAAATGAGGAAACTTCTCCAGGAACACACAACCTTGCCAACTGTAATAAACATGAAAAGCTAAACTGAAAATCAAATAAACCACATCTTTAGCCTCACAAAGGATCCTGCCAATACGCTTAGGTAACAAGATAGAACATTCTAGGAATTGCAAGCCCTCTGAAAGAAATCGTGCCTTCTGCTTCTTTGTGATCAGACAATAGAAATCCAGCTCTGTGTGTGTGTATACGTAGGTGTAAATGTTACAGGAACCAGAGTAAAATGCAACTTTCACCTTAAACAGACGTAATTGTTTAAAAAATTGTTGCCGAAGGCCCTGGTGATACGGGTTCAGAGGAAGGGTTCCTCTTATCTTGAGAGAAGGGGCACTGCTATCAACCTGTTTGTATAACGTAAATATAATTATTTATAGGAGAAATGCATGTGCTGAAAATACTTTCTTTGCAAGCATGTCTTAAAACTGTCTATTTTCAATATTGTTTGTGATTTTTAAAAGCCCAAGCCAATGAAAAGGGCTGCTGCTTTATCTAGTAGAAGTCTGACGCTGGCTGCATAGTTAGTCTTGAGGCACACCTGAACTTCACAGATGTTGTAACCGAAGATCAGGGAGGGAGAGAAATACCAGACTGAACAGGTACACGGTTTGCAGAATTAAAAGTGCAGGTTTCATCAGCTGTGGTCACTTTTCCATTAATCTTTTTCTAAATTTTAATGATTGTGAAATAGAAAAAGATAAATGGGCTTTAACAGCAGTAAATCAATATATTTCAAATCACTGTTTTATCTATTGTGTTCACCTAGTGTCACTTTCCTTTGAATCTTACATAAGGATAATTGATTTTTCCCAGCTACTGTGCTTAAACACTCAAGGTGTCTCACCCGAATTAAACAAGAGAAGTCTCTTCTTGATCAGACAGTCTATTGAAAACCAGCGTTTGACTAGTTTCATGTGTTGGAACGTAGTGTCACCTCCCATTAAAACTCACCAATACCAGTAGCATAAGCGTAAGTGATTTGCGGGTTTGGCATGTCAGTGTGCCTTCAGTGGAACTGCTGCCTGTGTGCAAGGAATGCAGGGTTTGGCTTGTGGATAGTACAAAGGTAATCTGTACCTCAAGATAGAGCGTAGTTTTTTAGTACCGAAAGGATTGTGAAATGGAGTTGGTAAATGTTATTAGGTACTTCTGAACTGCACAATGATATTTTGTAGCTACAGTAAGCAATTTGTTGAACTGGTTTGGAGAGCAGAGTTCTGATATCTATCCAGGTGAGCAAAAGTTTCCTGTGAAGGTGAATAGAGGATAATGTGCTAGAACGTTACAAGCATGTTTTTCACATAATCTGACAATATCTTGCTGTGGCAGGAGTGCTGGATGAATTACTTGCATTAAGCAATTCCAGATTAATTCAACTAAACTATCTTTGGTGTTTGGTTTTTTTAAATGGCAATATCCCCTTTCAGTGTCACTGCAGGACATTACAATGAGGAAAGCTTTCCGGAGTTCCACTATTCAAGATCAGCAGCTGTTTGACCGCAAAACTCTGCCTATTCCTTTGCAAGAAACTTATGACATTTGTGAACAGCCTCCTCCACTTAACATTCTCACCCCTTACAGGTTAGTAAAATAAAATTAATCAAAACCAATTCCTAGCTTATTTTATGTAATAGAGGTGCTAGACACAGGCACTTTGCTCGTGTTGAGTAGTACTTGAGTATTTAAGGAGCCACCACTAGAAAACTGGGAAGCTGCTGGAGGAATACAGGCAGCAGAAGTTGTTACAAATGTTAAAGCTTTACTCCACTTTACGTTGCGGTAAAATTTGAGTAAAAATGGTAAGAAAAAGCCATTTTTATTATCTGTATTTATTAAACTGTGTAATGCTCTTGGATGTGAAGAAAATAAGCAGCTAAGGATGTAGAAAGAAATTTGTTTCTAATGGAAATAAATGTTGTTTGCCTTCCCAAAGTCAATTTGAATCAGTCTTTGAACACGAGCAGCCACACAAATTTGCTCATTATTATAAGAGCAAGATTTGAGTTACCGGAATGGGGGTTCTCTGACGTATGATACTTTTTTTTAATCTACAGCTTGCGTTAAAGTTACTTTTCTAAAACCAGGACCTTGAATACAAGGAAAGGTAATAAAGAATGATGGCACAGGTGGTCACTGTTCATCTTTGTAATGTTCTTCAGTAAAATATTTCAGGGTCTGAGATACTAGGTATTCCTTAATATGCCTTTTCTTTGCCTCAATATTTGGATTCATGTGTTGTCAAATAAATAGTATGCCCTGTTTGTGTCATTGTATTTCAGGGATGATGGAAAAGAGGGTTTGAAGTTTTATACCAATCCTTCATACTTCTTTGATCTGTGGAAGGAAAAAATGTTGCAGGACACTGAGGACAAAAGGAAAGAAAAGAGGAAGCAGAAGGTACGTATGTTAGCTTTGTATAGCTTCTGGCTGATTTTTCCCAGGAGGGGTTTACTTGCAGATATGGTACTTTTTTAGTTATGCAATTAATAACAATCCAAGCTTTACAGAGTCGTCTTCATTCAACTAAAACTACTTGTATTCATTCAATTCCATCAACTTTAACAAACAAATATTTAGTAATAATAAAATAATATAGAAGGGCCTAGAGCTTTCATGCTGTCTTAATGTAATTGTAAGATTTTCCAAGACTTGTAAGTCTTCTAGCAATGACTCAAAAAGGAGGAAAAAAGGAGCAATACAGCAAGAATAAAGAATTTCACTGGAAAACATACAAAATTCTGACAATTGTACGGGTGAAAAACTTCAATGGCATTCTAATAGGTGTGTTTAAACTAGGAAGAAATCAGTAGGAATAGAGCACTTGGTTTATATTTTCTTCAAATTAAACACTTTTGCAAAGGTAATGCTACTTTTTTGTTTCATCGTTCTGTATATTTCATACACAGAGACAGTAAACATAAGTGTTGGATTCATAAACTCATTTCAGACTTAGAACAAAAAGCTACTTATACAGTTATGTTTCTCTATATTGCTCAGCCAGTTGTCCACTAGACTGAAGTTTCTGCCTCTTAGAAGTGTTTTTGGTTTACATATCATATTTCGACAGAAAGTAAATTCTTCTTGCACATGAATTGAGATTGTTTTTGATTATTTTGTGGCTGATGTTTAAATGCAAGTAATTAAAAAACACTTAGTTGTCAGTTTTGTTTGCACAACTCTCCTACAGCAGAAAAATCTAGATCGCCCTCATGAACCAGAAAAAGTGCCAAGGGCACCTCACGACAGACGGAGAGAGTGGCAGAAGTTAGCCCAAGGTCCGGAGCTAGCAGAAGATGACGCTAACCTCTTACATAAGCACATTGAAGTTGCTAATGGCCCAGCTTCACATTTTGAATCAAGGTTTCTTTTGATTTTTTCTATCCTTTATTAAGTACAGAAATTCGTACTACATAGTGAACATGCTTGAGAAATGGCAAATGATGAGATGCTACCGCTATTCTTGAAATGCACTGGAAATCATTGATTTAACTCAATCAAAACTCGCTTTTAAAATACTTAGTGTGTCCTTAAAGTAGTAGGTATTACCTTGTTATTGTTGAGTAGCGTGTATCCTTGGATTTCATTGTCTTCTTGAGGATGTGTGGTCATCTACAGCTTGAAGAAGGTGTAGTGTTCACTGTTGTGACCTTGCACCCAGGGGTGCCCCTGCATTCCAGTCTTGACCTACAAAATCCCTATTATTCCAGTCTTTTGATTTTTCTTAGACAGACACTGCCAAGACTATATGGTGGGCGTGATGCGAACAAATGTCCACTTGCAACTCAAATGAGAACATTGAGCTTCTCTTCACTCTTGAGCAACTCCAAGATTTGATTGACATTTCTGGTTACAGTCTATTACAAAATCAACCTGTTGGATTCTCATTTCACAGCATGTATTTGCTGGTGGCTAAAAGTAACATTTCACACAGCAAACACCTGCTGTGTTTATGCTTCTGGTGTTTGTGCAAAACCAAGTCCATTTTACCAGCCAAGAAACATCTGACAGGAAAGAGGGCTGACAAGTAATATTACGAATTTGGGGGGTATTTTGGGGGGGCTTGGGATTTTTTTAATTAAAAAATATTCATTGTCCTGCAAAAAAATAGTTATATTTTTCCCCTGTCTTTCGCTGGCCAAAAACACACCATAAGAGGGTATTTTGTTTAGCTTTGTACGGCCTTCAATCAAACTTAATAGTGACAGTGGGTAATTATGAGCGCTCTAGGTGATGGTGTTTGCTGCCTGAAGAATGGAAAAACCTGCTTGTAGGAAACTTCGCTCAATTCAGAAAGTAAAAATGATCTCAGTGCATTTCACTCAGGAGGGTACAACTCAAGTTACAGTGATTAGCATTTTTCTGGGAACAACTTTATTGTATTTTATATTTGTAAACTGCTGTGTCAAGTTGTTGACAGAAACATCTGCTTTCCTGCTGCCCTTCTGTTGTGTTGTACATCAGATTCCGCATTAGACCCACTTGTTGCAGGACTCCTTTTATATGCAGGACCCTGGCCTAAACCTTGATTGCCTCAGTACCAGTAATGCAGTTATGAATAATGCTGTAGTGCTTGGGAGCACTGCGTGTGCAGAGCATGTTGTTCAGATACAGAACAGCACCGTGCTTTTGACAGAGGAAGAACTTCACCCCGGAAGAACTGAATAGGCTTAGATACTACAGTATCTAAGTGGCAGTATGTGGAAATGTAGAGTATTACTTTACTTGTTGGAAAGTGTTCTGCAAACACATCTCCTCTGAAATCAATAGAGAAATTAAAAAAAAAAAATCTTTGAGTAGTTAATTAAAATTTCCTAACTGATCAGGTTCTTGAGGTGTGTCTAAAGTTGTCATTAACAAGTAAGTTGAATCATCTTTATTTACTGCTGCTACTCAATAATAGTTATTTAAATTATCTTCGTTATATCTGTCATATAGCTACAAAGTATCAGGTCTAAAGTAGTGAGTTCTCTGTGTATATTGGAATATAGATCCTCTGACAGAAGTTCTGCTAAATTATTCAGTTGTGAATTCTACCATTTGAACACTGATGGATGTTTCACTGATGTTACAGAAGACTATGGTTCCATATATGTAGGGATTGAGGAGCAGAAACGATTACGGAGTACAATGTCTGTTTTGTAATACACTCTGGTATATGTGTATTTCTGATTGTATTGCTATGTTTACTTAAAATAATGTGACTAATTAACACTAAGATCACACACATACTGTAGAAATTGTTTGATACACCTGTCAAAATCTTTAAACCCTTGAGCTGCTAGAAGCAGTGGCATGGAAAGTGAGATAAATTATTAAAAAGCCATGAAGTACAATATGCAACATTGGTGCAGAGAAGATACTTGAATTCAGAAAACAAACTGAAGTATAGAACAATAGCAGAGGGCCCTAATACTTACTTTTACTAGAGCTTACACTGGATCATTTTTGCTATTTTCCTACAGATCTCAAGCATACGTGGACCATATGGATGGGTCATATTCGCTTTCTGCATTGCCCTATAGCCAGATGTCTGAACTTCTGAACAGAGCCGAGGAGCGAGTGTTGGTCAGACCACATGAACCACCACCGCCACCTCCGATGCATGGAGCAGGAGATGTGAAACCTGCACCTCCGTGTGTTAGGTATGGTGTGGTCAAGCCACATGCAGATTTACTGGGGCATTTTAGTTTTCCATCACCCCACTAATAGCCATTAGTGTTATTTCTGTACAGCCCAGGCAGTACAGACATCCTAGGGGCTGCATCGGTCCACAGCTGTGACGTGTCTGCAGCTGCAGGGCCACGCAGGAGCTGGAGAGAAAGGCCAGAATCTAAGCCCCGTAGGGTGCCGTTGTGGAGACGGGCCTCACCTTGCTATCAATATTGTGACTATGCTGCCTTCTGAGTCAAATGGCAAGACGAATAATTGTATGGAAAATGTTTCTGTGAAAGACGTTGGAATCTCAAGAGTTTAGCTTTGGAATTTTGGAAATCTGAAATCTGTACAGCTGAGCTGTGTTTCAGCCTGCGCGAAAGAACATATCGCAGTAAGACAGTCAACTGTCAGAACTATATATTCATCACATTTGCTAAATTACAAGTGCTTTCTCTTCGCCCACGTGTTTTTATTTTCTATTTCTTTGTGCCTTTCCAGAACTGGATACTTAAGAGTTTTCTAGAGTTAGGCTCTGGTTGTCAGTCAGGCTCTGGTTGTCACTCCCCTGATGTTTTATACCCAAAATCAGGTACATACATCTTGGAATAGAGGACAGTTAATTCAGACATGGTTTTCACATCAGCAAGATGTTAGTCTCTCACGAAAAATGTCTTTTTACTGTCCAGAAGATTATACACAGGAATGTGTAACTCTTTAGATTATTTTCCACAACAGCTGAAAGAAATCTCCTAGTGTCTTTCAGGAAAATAATTTTACTGTTCCCTTTTGTTTTCTTCAATTCACCTATTCATTGCACTGTAATGAGTATCTAGCATATAAATTTACCTCTCTGTACATAGGATTGATGACCTTTGGCATTAGGCTTACTCACCCTGTCATCAAACCTCAAGTATGCATTTCAAATGTAACTCATCCTCATTGCTCGTACTGTTTTGTTTTGTTTTTAAAGTTCTGTGAATCGAAGCAGTTAATCAACTGCTAGTTCGCTTACTTCAGAAGAATAATTTGGATTTACTTAGGGATGGGAGGGGAGAATTATACTAGTGCAGGAACCTTTAATAAAGATGCAAGTTTGTATAAGAGCATAAACTTGGTTAATATCTGAATTTGAGCAAAATTCTGTTGGAAGACTGATGCAAAGTCCATACTTAGAATTAGATTTTGACTTATGTGAGGTATGAATACCTTGAAATCATCATACTACAAAATGCTCTTTAATGCCCAGTGTTCAATATTCTCAAGTTGCAGAAATGAACTTATTATTTTTTTCCACTCTCAGCTCTAATAACGTTGTCCTGTTATTGAATGTTTCAGTTCTACTACTGGCTTGGTAGAAAATCGTCCTCAGTCACCAGCAACAGGCAGAACACCAGTGTTTGTGAGCCCCACTCCTCCTCCGCCACCACCACCACCTCTTCCATCTGCTTTGTCTGCAGGCCCCGGCTGTGCCACCTCCACCAGCTCCTCTCCAGATAGCTCCTGGAGTCCTACATCCAGCTCCACCTCCCATTGCTCCTCCCCTAGCACAGCCCTCTCCTCCTGTCACTAGAGCTGCCCAAGTGTGCGAAGCTGTACCAGTTCACCCAGTTCCTCCACAAGCTGAAGTACAGGGTCTTCCTCCACCACCCCCGCCTCCTCCCTTGCCCCCTCCTGGCATCCGACCCTCCTCTCCTGTCACAGTTGCAGCCCTTTCTCACCCTCCTGTTCTGCACCCTCCTCCCACAACCATTGTCCCCAGCCCTCACGCCCCCCTAATGCCTCCGTCTCCACCATCCCAAGTGATTCCTGCTCCTGAACCCAAACGCCATCCATCAACTCTTCCTGTCATCAGCGATGCTAGAAGCGTTCTGCTGGAAGCAATACGGAAAGGTAATGTTTGGCTGTTAAGGGGTAAGAAGAACAGTCTCGGAAACTTGCTAAATACACATTAGCTTTGAGAGATGGAATGTGTCACTTGTCTAAGAAGTTAGTTTAGAGGAATGCCTCTTAAGTCTCTTTCTGCTTTCTGGTCTCTACAGCGTATGCATTACCAAGTAGATTTTTTTCGATTTGTGACTGCACTTGCCAGATGTTTAGTTTGGATGGCATAACTGGTGCTCTGTGGAAGGCAGATTTTTTTTTTTTAAAGTACATGTGTTTATAGATGATCTGTGGAGATTATTTCTTCCTTTCTGTTTACCTGCAAATGTAGATATTTCTGATAACTTATGGGTTGTGTAGAAGACAAAAACATTGTTTTTCACAGACTATTAGATAAAAGCAGAACAAATCAATTGGCATTGGAATTTTGATCATATATCCATGTATTACAGCAACATATAAATGACACTCGGAAATCATTGATTAAGACTTGAAGCTGTTAAGTGTCTAAGCTTGACAAGTCTCAGCGCAGCAGTGGAGCGGTCTGTACGTCGCGAGGTGCCCTGCTGGCAGAGTGCAAGTGAACGGCAGAGGTGCAGGGCGATGCTTTCCTGACGACCTGGCAGGGGGCTGCGTGTACGAGCTGTACCTCTCAGCGTATGGGCCTACGGCCGGAAACATCCCCACTGCACCGCCAGTGCTGCCGTTCGGCTGTGCGGTGTCTTTGGACAGTTAATCTGTCTCAAATATTTCGAGTACTACGCTCGTCTGGTTTTGCCCCTGCACTTACTTAGAACACAGTACAGAATCTGTATGGTACCGTAATATCAGTAGGTAGGCTGTAATACTAGCTCAGAATATTTTTAAAGCATCTGTGTGCGTATGAATTGATAACATCACTGAATCTAAAAAAGTATCAACGACAGTTGAGTACAGCAGCGGTATGTGAACATCAGTAGAGAACATCAGCAAAAACCTAATATGGGAGAGCCTGCTGGTATAATTTAGGCGATTGCTGAAAATGCTTTTGACCAAGTCTTGCACAGGAAACAAAGGCTCGAGTTACCACAGCGTAAATTCCACCTAAGGACCTGTGCTCGCGTTGCCTGTCAGCTGACAACAGGGAGTGTTAGGTACAGGATGCAGGTCATATTTAGACTGTGTCAGTCTGTGGTGATGTGAGTATAAAGCCAGAACGTATAATATCTGTCATGTGTTTAACCAAGTTACTGATTTTAACTTTCTCATACTGTCAGGATGTGTTATTTCTCCTTAGTGTTTGATCTTTAAGTAATACTTTATCCCGAAACAGATCATTACACGATCAAAACTGGGTTACAAGAAGTCCTGTCTTGTTAGGATACTCAAACAGCCATAAATTTTAATTGGAATCATGAAGAGAGAGTATAGAAAGTGTCTGGAAATGCAAATAGTAAAATGGCTTAATCACATACAGTGGTACCAGAAATGGGGGTGTATTTTTAGTGGGGAATCAGAAGCAGGATACCATAGTAGAAGGACTGATGATCTAGTCTGCCACTGAAATTGTGACGTTTCTCTCTTTAAAACCTTGACAGAGAACTTCTCTCCGAGGAGGACTCTGTCCTCAGCCTTCATTTTTGCTTGCAAAGCGTTTTGTAATTGTGAGCTAAATACTTTGTCTAATGGTAAAGGAGGAGAGTAACGTGTTTGTGATTCGATGTTCTTCAGGTATTCAGCTACGCAAAGTTGAAGAGCAACGTGAACAAGAAGCTAAACACGAGCGCATTGAGAATGATGTTGCTACTATACTTTCTCGTCGCATTGCTGTGGAATACAGTGATTCAGAAGATGATTCAGAATTTGATGAAGTGGATTGGTTAGAGTAAAATCACTACATTGCTGTACACTGCAAAATCGAATGCTAATGTCCGTTGTGGTGCTTGTTCTTTGAAAGTTTGATGGTCATTTCTAGTGTTTTTTGTATTCTTTTCTTTATATAATTAATCCACGTTTTTCTACTTTTCAGTTTACAAAAAGCTCCTAGTGCATCTTTAACCTAAATGTTTTACGGTGGCTTTTCTTACACATCTTTTTTGAAAGAACATACTTTGTTCCAATAGACCACTAAGTATTAAGCATGGGCAGCTGTTGGTAGAGTAGCAGTTTCGATTTTTTGGCATATCTTAACTGTGCACTTTGTGAATTTTAAGTTAATGAAGGCAACTGAGATTGACATTCCAAGGGCAGCTGTATGTACTAATGAGCCTTATTCCACTTCTGATAGTGTTTTAAAACATTAAACCTAGCTATCAAGATGTCACTGCCTCGATTACGTCTGTACGCTACAAGTACATATAGTTAGCAGCACTGAACACACTGAAAGGAAAATGGATCGTTGGGGGGTTTTATTATCGTTTTGTTGTTGTTTTTAAATAATTATGGCCTTATTTGAATGTTTAGAGATTCCCCTTCCCTTCTTCCCTCCCAGGTACATATTGTGTGGTACTATTTTTGCCTGCATAATAAAAGTTTAAATTTTTTTTTTCCTTGTGAAATCTTTTGACTTAAACATGCTGTGTAACTTATGTAACTGTTAAAATAACAGTTTGATTTAATAAATGGTTCATTTTAAGCGTTCCTGCTTGTTGCTTTTCAATGGAGCCTGCTTTTCACTGGTGTACCTGAGGGATCCTTGGATTTCAATGATTTAATCTGTGGTCTGCAAAGTTACAATAAATATTCTGCACTTGATCTAAGGACCCATATTAAACAAGAAAACATGTATCATCAGATGATATCTGTAGGCATGTCTATGAAAAAAAAAGCTGAAATCTTTCTGCAATCCATTAGTTTAAAAAAAAAAAAACCAACAAAATTGGGAGCTTGTGGCTTATATGATTTGGGGTTGTTTTTTTAAAAAATCTTTACCATCAGTGTATGTTGAGAAGAGAAGGGGAGATGCAGCAGTCAAAATGAAAGGTGACAAAGAACATGGGTGATAGTGCAAAGTCATTTTCTAAGCGCTATCTAGCAGCGTGCTGCGTGTTGCGCAGGGCTTTTGTGTTTCCCCTGCCTGGAATAACTCCTTCAAGTCTGAGCGCGTAGTCAAAAGCCTGTTGAGAAGGGAAGCGCGAGAGAGTGCAAGTGCACTCTCACCCGCGAACTCGTTCCTGGAAGATGGGATTGTGTAACAGAGGAAAACAAGCTGAAAGTCAGAATGAGATTTCTGAAGGTGGAACATGAAATATTCTACAGGCCACGGAACAATTTACAGGGGCAGGTGGTTATTAAGCTACCCTTAGGACTGGATGAAACTCCAGAGGTACAGACTGGAGCGTGAAACCCTCCCACCTTTACTGTCCCCATCTCAGCCGCCACTCTAATGTGCACGGCCTACTGTAGTCAAGAGTTTTTCCACTGCAACAATAATGCCTTTGTCGTGTTTGTGGGAGAAAAATTATTGTCACAGTTTGAATTTACATGTTTACACCTACGGATGCAGTTCTTCTCTCCACGCTACTCTCTCTGAGAGTTATTTTCACAATAACGCTGCCTGGTTTATTCTGTCGTTCTTAGTTGACGTTCAGTGTGTGCGTCCTTCTTAACAGCTCCTCATAAGAAAAGATGGCGGAAGCATCACTGCATGAATGGTGTTTAACCTAGGTGTTTCCTTGGATCTCAGTAATCCCAAATTGCCAAATCTGGCCCACTAGCTGAATGTGTGAGAGCGTTCTTGCTTATGCAGCGGGAAAGGACTGATCTCCTCAAGGAGAAGTGCGGCACGCGCACCTGCAGCTACGCGTTAGGCAGGGAGCCGATCTACACTGCAGGCAACTGAAGGCAGAGCTTGTGGCTAAATTCTGTGTGTAGGCAGTCCTGCCATTCACAAAATTACTTTTCAACTGATGTTTGTACCTGTTGCTTGCGGAAGTCTCTAAACTCTTGACTGTGCTGGTGGGTATTGCAGGCAGCAGCCCACCGCGGCACTTGGATGGAGCAGCAGCGTGCCTGTGCCCGGGCTCTGGGTGTTCAAAGGGGAGGGTCTCCCCATCGCGCCTGCGCTGTGGGTGTGCTCCGAGTGCGTCCCGGTGCTGTGACCTGGGTACTAGTCTAAAGCAAGGAGACAAGCTGGCGAAAAGAAAGAAAAAAAGCAATGAAAGCGGAAAGGCCGTACGTGACTGCAGCTGTCACATATTGGACTCAAAGGTATAAAAAAACTCCTTACTGACAAATGGTTGCTATTGACCTGCTTCGCTGTCCCAGTGATTAATAATATCCCTTCCAAACCGGTACTCGGGGCAGGCGAAGCACTCGCTTAATACGATACGGTCACATGAAGTAGTGAACCTTGTCTGCGAAAAGCCAAGAGTTAAATTCCGTTAAAGGCAGTTCAGAGGCGGGATTCTTGGCCTTCTGCCACGGCTACAGCTTTCTGCCATAGCAACTAGTCTCCGGATAGCAATAGCGTGCTTCACCACTAGTGAGAGGTGATTGCTGAATCCGAGTATTTGCCTTTCTAGATCTGCTCCAAGCCATGCATTTGCAGTCTCCGTGCTTTGTGTCCCCCTTCCTGTGGTCTCCTGCTGCCCTTCTCATTCTGTGGAACGCTGTGCAGAGGGCTGCTGGGCTATTCATGCCCCTGATTAGATGTGTAATAGATTATTGATTGCTTTGTCTTGTAAGGTACTAAATCAAGTCTTCTGTATTGAACTGTTTATAGATTCTGTTGTTTACTTCTGTACATTTACAGCAGCAGGTTAAAATCGAAGACTCAAAGTCTACACAGAAGTAATGTGTCAGTAATGTTCAATGTAAGTGAAGAGAAACTTTTGTTCAAATTCACACCTTTCTTGAACTGTAATACGGGACGGTTAAAAATTATCCACCTCTCCTACTGCAAAACAGGGAAATAAGATAAAAATAAAAGCATAGAAAGGAGAAACGAAAGGGACACGGCAGAACAGGAGCAGCAAACTAGGGAGGTGCAAAATTTGTCACTTCAGGTTTTTATCAAAAGATAAAGCAGTAACAATGACACAGCCATCATGGACAGACCAAAAATAAATGGCTAAATGGAAGAGAACAAGTATGGAAGAAACAAAATGACAGAGACACATAATTCTGGTTCTTTTTTTAGTGTTACGTTGTGAATAGCAACCATTAAATACTAGACATCATTAAAGGCTTACGTAACATCCCGTTAAATTGGGATTAAACAAGCAGGAGGTGTTTTAAAAGACCTTTAGTCGATTAAACCATCCTTCGCTGCGTGTGGCACAGGCGTGCGCTCCTCAGCGTCCAGGTGGATGCTGGCATGCCATCCCCGGGCTGATGAATGCGCAGACCCAGCGCAGGGTCGGCATCGAAAGGTGCCGTGGGACCCGAGCGTGCAAGCAGGTACCGACGGCCCCAGTTCTGTTGCGACGGGCGTTCTCTGCGCTGCTGGGACCACCTCGGCCTGGATGCAGCTGCCACCCCTGCAGCACATCCCCGCTTGCTTTACCTGGCGACCGTGAGCCCTCGGACTGCGGCCAGGATGCAGACACAGCCGCGGGCTCTGTGGTGTGCTGCCCCCTCTCCGGCGTCCCCGCCCCTG